AGCGGGGCGCCCGGTGTGCTCCTCCTGAGCTGCCGCCAACGGCTGAACAACACTTTGCTGATTTTGCTTTCACTCAACCCTTTGAAATCTGCGCTGCAACCCAGTTTAAGCTACACGAACATGTTAATTGCTGTAAATGGAACAGCTGAGCAGAAATATGCTCTACTGACCTCTAATTAAGCGCTATACATTTGGCGCTTGAGTCAGAATACGATTATTATTTATTGTCTTAGCAAAACACAATCTGCTGGTTTCAGCCATTTCTTCCTTGTTCACATTTTAGTTAGGATGTGTGGTGAGTGATACATGAGCTAGTCATATCTGCTCTCAGCTAAAAGCTGTGTTCTAGACGGAGGATTATTAGTACTTCATGAATATGTATTCATTTTTCAAACTTTTGAGTCTGTCTAAATTATAAAACTACTTTGTTGGCAAAGCTTAATTGGGAAATCAGCTGCATATTGTACCCCTGTAGGAATATGCAAGTGGATGCAGATGGAGTTGCCAGCCTGGCATCTCTTTTGGGGCAAGTTAGACAGACTACAGCTTTGAAGCAATGGCTTAAATTTTGTAAATACAAGACCTTTTCTTCCTGTATATTAGGGTTTTTTTCTTTTTGTACTCATCCCCTAACTGCATATTTACTACTTTGAAGATTCTTTTTAATTTTAATACAAATTGAATGTGAAGAGAAGGAAAGCAAAAAATGAGATGGGAACGGCAACACCTGTAAAATCTGTGTTGTAAAGCAAGCCCAGTTTACAAAACTGTTCAGTGGTGCCCTCTAGGATTTTAAAGTGCTAGCAAAAATTAATCCTTAGCCTCGGCGTTGCTGTGAGAGAAAACACCCAACCCACAAAACAGACATATGGTGAGTACAGAATAATAATATGAAGCCCACCGTGCTGGTTTCTGAAAAAGCCATCTTGCTCCTCAAAGAATCAGCTGCATGGCCAAAACCAGGGTTCATTTTAATAAAGGACTTGGATTATTGTGTAAAAAAAAACAACAACAACAACCAACCAAGTGATGCTATTAGCATATGAGAAGCCTTTTAGTTTACCTTTCCCTTTATAATTGCTATTTCATTAGTGATTTTTTCAGTCCCATTGCTAACACATAGCCTCTCTTGGCAGCTTCCTTGAATTCCCTGTCTTGAGCAAATTTTGAGTCATACCGAAGCAGCGTTAGATAGCATCAGTAAATATGCACTATGAACTACAGCCTGTTTTCCTCTGTTACCTAAGCAGCGCCATAAAGCCAAGCCATGGAGACAAAAGGTCAGAGCGGTAATTCAGGGAGCCCGCAGCCGCCCGGGGAAGGAGGCATTCCTTAGGATTTGTGTGCTCGTGCCTGAGGCTGAGGTGCAGGATTTTCCAAGATACCTGATTCATCCCTGTAACTTTTTTCTGAGTGTCATCTCATTTTTCAATGGCTTGTTTGAAGGGTGGGCACCCAAAAAGCAGACACCGTTGTGATGGTGTTGCTCCCGTTGATTACAGGCATCAAGCTGCCTCCCTGCCCCAGCAGTTTCTGATGGTACCCTCAAGGGTGTGACATCACACTCGCGCATCATCTCCCGGCTTCTCCTGGGGAAGAACGTCCACCATCAGAAGATCAGGTGCTACCACATATGGCAAACAGCAGCATCTTTCCAGAACCACATTCACCTTTCCTCACAAGAGTCAAAAAGAGTGTTTCCCTTTTTTAATGCACATTTTCTAAAGTCACTGGCATTCTTGCCTCCTTTTTACTCCTGCCTCACATACCTCACTTCATCCAGGCTTCCCTTTTCCCTTTTTATACCCCAATTACTGTGACTGCTCGATATTTCATCCTTTGCCTAGCCTCGCAAACCTCATCTGTTATCTCTAACTACACTACGGTCCCCCTCTTGCTACAGTGTGGGGTCAGCCGGGTGCTGCTGATGGAGGGCAGAGGCATGCGAATGGCAGGGACCCTCGCTCCTCACCGGGGTTAGTGGCACTTTAGACCTGCCAAGGCACCCGCCTGCCCACTGCAGCTGCACCCGTGCAGCCCAGGCTGTATAAGCAGCTACGTCCCTGCTGCTCCATCGGCAGCCTGCCGCTCGGCACCGCCCGTCTGAGCCTGCCAGTACTGGAAATGGAAATCTCACATACTGGTTTTAACAGTTTGCTCATTCTGACTGCAGTGCTTCAGCTGCGAAAGGTCCAAGTACTTACAGGAGTAAAGAGCAAGGCATATTTTTTAGCAGCCATACTGTTCCATGCCTTCATACACAGCCAGCAAATTAGTGTCTTCCTGCTTGTATCGCTGATCTGTTCTTATTTTGGACCACAACCATAAAGCATGTTGCATTAGCACCTTTTCCTCCATAGCTCTAGCATATGCCTTGTAGCTGAATAGGTTTCTGTCTGGTATAGCTGAAACTGAATTCGTTCCAGCTTTGCCTTTTAATGCACTTTCTGCAAAATCTGGGATTTTATACCACTGATTTCCATTAAACTGAATGTTTTGTTCTGTTAACAGCTGATTTAACTCAAACGGATGATATATCCCTAATGAGAAAAGAAAGCATGCTCGAGAGCAAATGGAAATTCCCAGTCAATCAGTCCAATTAGCGCTGAACTATTGCAGTGTGTGGGTGTGCAAAGGGAACGGTCTGGACATAAATCCAGCTGTTTCTACCTGTTGGTTTTGGTTATCAGGAAGACTTAGATGCATATTTCAATATTTCAAAGTATGCCAGTATGAGCAATGGGCCCAAACCAGCTGCAGACTGAGAGGCTGATAGAAAGGACCCCCCTAAATGATCATCAGAATGCCTGCTCATAATGAGGGTAAATATATATATATACACACATATACACACACACAGAGGTATATAAGGCACTCCTTGTCTCACTCGGGAGCGCTGCTGGAAGCGGTGAGTGAGCACAGAACTCAGAGGGTGAGCTGCTCTTGACTCCCTGCTGCAGGACATTGTATCTGCTGCAAAAACCCCTATTTCACATTTTACCTGGATTGGCTTGTGACTGACTTCTTGGCTTCTGGTGAGCTTTATTCCCCTTTTCATTAGGAAACTCTTTAGGTCAAGTAATGCTTTATCACACTGTACTTTCTGTCTCCAGTCTCTGCAGTTTCATAACTTCCTTTTTCATTTGTCACAGAAGATGGCATCTCTTCCCAGCACCCCGATACAGTGTGCAGATTTTCCATGGTGAGCCTGAAATACTAATTTATTTTATTTTAAAATACGTGCATGCAATATTTTAAAATACTACACCTTCGAAGCTGTAAGAGGTCCCTCAGCTGGACTTCCAACAGCCACCTGCACATAGGTGAGAACTGAGGAAATTTTGGTTTAAAGGATTCAAGCAAACACTTATTTGTACAAAA